TTCCCTTTCGGACACGGAATAACCAACGCCTTGCCGCACGAAAGACAGGGTTTCATCACATATCGGTCGGAACCGTATCGGTGTGTAGACCCGGGCGGCTTCTTCTCTTAATAATTCAGTAACTACATTGCGAACTACCAAACACCGACAAAAAGCGCTATTTTGAATATACGTGAGCATACGCACCCCATCACCAATGCACTGTCCATCTGGTAGAAAAAGCTGTTTGTTCAGTAAGTATCACTTACTTCATTATGCGAATCTACACGTGCATGTTAGTACTTGACCCAGCAGAGCACCACCTACATGGCGTATTGTTTTACCACCAGCTCATCTAGAATGCTCACGCGAGCAACTGATTGTGGTCTAACTCAACACGATCCGCCTATACGGATGATAATAACCTCTTCCTCCTATTAAAACGCCACCCTGTGTTAGCGGTGACCTCAAATATGAAGATAACAATCCCCATTGCTCACGATGCCCTAAAAGCACCACTAAGACCCACAATGGGGAGCAACTATAAGTGAATACCAAGCTGGACGAAATCTCCACTCTTAATACTTTTTAGCGAAATGACAGGAAGTGCCAATTCTTATAGCTGAGACTTTTTATGTGCGACAACGATGCGGCGAGCTAACCTACACCGGAGTTGCTTAAAAGTAACCCCACAGATGGCCACGCAACAGATTCATCAACTTTTTGAGCCGCCGTGACAACTTCTGCCAAATAACATTAACATATTTAGATGGTCAAGGGGTCGCGTCAAAAATCACGTGAAAGGGGCTAAAAATAATAAACATTCGAAAAACAATAGGCACCTTCCAGTTCATACTGGCTCGGTCCCTAATTAAGATTTAATAAGTATATAATACTGACCCCATGCCTAGCTGTACTGGAACCAGAGTAGTCTGATATGGTTCAGTAGATCAGTGCAATGGCTATTGGATTGGGTGCTGCTAAAGTGGCATGGATTTCTTTTTCTTGAGCATACCAATGTGTTTTGACAGATGAGTTTTTCTATCAAATGAACAAAAAATAAACCCTATGGAAATGAAGACAGCCTTAAAATGATGTGTGGTATAATTCTGTATTTTTATGTTAATTTATGTCAATACTGTCTGAGGCTCTCAGCCACAAGTCGAATGGTTCTTACAGAAAATGTAAGTCTTGAGAACGGCACACAAATCAAGTTTCTTTTTTAATTGCTCTGTCATTTTCTTAAACAGCTTGTTGCTGTAATTTTTAAACAAATGTTACTCAAACAGGAGGAAATACTGCATTTGTTGGGGACTATTTTCAGCGATGGATAATACATATTTGGTGCTTTAGTCAGTGTTGGATGGACTGTGTATGATGGATTGAGTCAAAACAAATTACAGTGCGTGTTCATGGTAATGAAGGAACAGTGGGGCTCACTGATGTGTCTTTAATAGTTTTTGGATAATAATGGAGCTCTATCAGGCTCTGATTTGATCCCGTTAATAAGTATTGTGTGTGTATCAAAGCATTGTGACCATGCTTATCCATTAAGCCACTCACAGTGCAAGCTAATTAAATGTTGACAGTCAGATACAAAAGAGACAACGTTTGACTAGTAAATCTTAAAAGCCTAACCTTAAGTTCAAAGGCATTTTATAAAAAAAAAAAATTTTTAAAAAGTGTAGAGGAAGTACAAGGACTTACCAACTCTCCATTTTCTGGAACTGTAAACAAGTAGAGATATTTATAGTTAGTTCAACCAAGCACATTTGTAAAAGGCACAAAGATGCAACTGATCATTTAAGAAAATGCTCAAGCAACTGATGTATAAATGAACACTGGTATAGGTTTAATATTTCTGCCCTGTCATCCTTACCCTCTGGCGGGGTGAAGAAGTTGAAAAAGGAGTCGTTGGGGACCGTTTTGGTGACCGTCCTCACTGTGCCGCGGCCCTTGTGCTTCTGTTTCTTCTTGATTGTTTTCAATGTGACGTTTTTGCCCTTCGTCCAGTCAATCGTGCAACTGTGGTGAAACATGAGGAGGAGGCAACGGGAGAAAGCAAGGTCAGTATCCATCCACATTTTAAATGTCAAGTCTAAATGACATCTTAGGTTTATTTATAGGAATCTAACTGGTGAGGTCGTTGATATCCACTTAGGAATGATTCAGAGAGAAGAGAAGAGCCAGAGAGATAATGGAGAAATGTTTGGTACAGGTCACGATGGCTGTTTATTAACCAACAGGCCAGGAGCCAAAATGGCCGACATGACATTATAGACAGTTGTTGTGCCTGTATTACCAGGGGTTCACATGCTGCTTAGCCCCGCTCCAGTGGCTGTTGGCCTAAAGTGATTGCAATTGCAAAAAATGTAAATCATTATACACCAAATGAAATTGTTTGTTAATTTGTGCACCATACATGTCCTGGTGCCATTCCTCTATTTTGGAAAAGCTTAAATCCTCTTATCTCCCTAGCACATCTTGGAGGAAAATAGAGAAATTAATAGTACATGGACCAATGTGTTTGCTTTCACCACAAATGCTGCTGGCTTACTGGTATGCTTGATGTACAATGAAAAAAAAAAGACTTTTTTTTTTAGAAACGATGACAAAAACCTGAAGGGCTTGTGTAGACCACCTGGCTATAATACCGTAATCTTGTCTTTGATGTCACATACATAACCTTGTTGACTAGCTGGCTTCAGCCATCACATTGGTAGGCTATGCTCCCTACAGAACCTAGCTACTGCAAAATGTGTGTTCAAAGTTTTATTAGAAAGCCCAATAATTGCAATGCGGATGATAAACGAGGTGACAAAAAGAGGGACTGATATGGTGGTGGAAGAAGAACAATAAAGTAAGTGATAACATTGCTAGCCAGTGGCAGCTAGTGTGGGGAAGCAAGTAGCAGCAAGGAGGTAAAATCCTTAATCTACTTCATGTGGTGTTCACATTAAAACTGACCACACGATCAGTGTTGTGTCATCTTTTCTCTCCTGGCCCCTATAAATGTATAATCTGTGTGCTCTGTATATTAAGTGTAATTGTGAGAGTTGTTTTTGAAAATTAAATGCTATTAAATAGGCTATATGTTATGGTTATCATAAAGAACTAAAATGGCGCGTAATAACAGATTTGACGGCTGTCTGTCAAAATGACAGACAAGAAAATCTGACAGCCTCAGAATTAGGGCTGCAGCTATCGAATA